AGAAGGATGTGTTAGCAGCAAGCTACCGCATATACACCTAACTCTAGACGTGATAACTGGCAGAGTTAGGCAAACCTTTAGTGTCTAAGGATGATGAATAACACGAAGGAATACTTTCGCAGAAAACCCTATTTGTAAACAAGCATAACTACTATAGATAAACTAGTCTGTAGTATCTTCATCAGGTTGGACAGACCTGTAGTCAAGCTACCACGGATACAGATACCTGTAACAAGCTAAATACCGTAGATAGATAGACAGAAAAGAATGGTATGTACGGCGGATGGACTGACCTGTAGCCAAGCTACCTCAGATACACTCACCAGTAAGCAAGTCTACTACCGTAGATAGACAGAAAAACAAATAGTATCTACATCGGGATGGGCTGACCTGTAGTAAATCTACACAGATAAAACTACTTATGAATAGGCTAACTACGTAGATAGATAGACAAACTAGTAGTAAGTACAGCAAGATGGACTGACCTGTATTCAAGCTACCACAGAAATAAACCTTCAATCTAACTACCGTAGAAAATAGACAGAGAACAACAGTAAGTGAGACAGTAACAGTAAGTAGACTACCTATAGGCCATGTCGTCATCCTCCCCGCCCCAGCCCCAGTAGAGGTTGGAGTAGCCGTTCACCAACAGCAGCTGCTCGGTGCGGATGGAGAAGACTCCGCCAATCAGCAGGGAATAAGGCAGTCTGCGCACAACACATTCTTCATATCTAAACAACCTATCGTCATATCATCTAGTCAAATACATTAGATGGAATTTGAAAGTGTTGAAACCTCTCTCAATATTCCTTAATGTCTTCGAAATACGAACATTATTTAGATATAAAGAGACGATCAACGTCTGTTGTATTAGTGGGTCACACCTTCAAAGCCATTTCTCTAGTTTAATTCAGGAACTCTTATATTAATTGGTTTTAAATTATTGATATATAATATAATGTGTTGCTATTAAAACTGGAATTTACATTGTAATTAGATTTATATATAGCAAAACCCTTTCCCCCCCTACACATGTAATATAAATTCTCTATAATAAACTTAGAAAAAATCATTAAATATTTTTCTCATCAATTTAGCATATATGGAAAGTATGATCCTTTTAAATATAAATTCACTTAAAGATAGTTTGTATTATGAACCTCGATATTTTCAGGCTGTTCTGATATTTTCAGATTTCATTTCATGAATCTTTCTAAATAACTCAATGATTAATATTTTCCTAAGATAAAATATGTTCTTATATTATAGATGTCACTATAGTATATAGCAATTAGGGAAAATGCATTAATAATTCAATAAAAGCCTCAGTTAGTAATACTATTAATAGTATATATGTTTACACAACATAAACATATTAAGAGACGTATTAAAAGTATAAAAAGGGTATTTTTCTTGAGTATTGAGCAATGAAGATGTAGGCGCCAAGATTCCACTGTAAACTGAGGTATTTCTGAGAGAGATGACACGATCCTGGAAGTGTCAACCGAGGGACAAACAACGATGACTTGGGTGATATGCCTCAAGGCGTAATTGCCCATCTAGCTCTTTTATTGGACATCCTTCCGAGAATCCTGAGGTCCCAATATGTGTGTTAGGAATGGTATATTGTATAACGTACTATGTAAACACAACTCTATTGGGAATATATATATTCGTGAATAATAGTGTGATGAATTAAGTATTTATAAATATAAAGCATATATTTATTCTTTAGGTAATAAAAAACATATAATGGGTTCAATAAAAGTATTTGTTTGTCAATATTTCGGATGAAAATATAACAACCTTTGTCAAGCATCACATTTTGTATAATAAACTCAGTAAATGATGTTTTTATATAAGGTAAACGGATATATTGGTAAATAAATATACTTATATAATATATGGATATATCCTATATCCATATTTAAATATGGATTTCTCTATTTTAAAATTGATATATACATAATCATCTACTATTGATAATCTGATTCTTTTGCTATTCTTGAGATATGAATATGTGAATACATATGTGATATATAATTGAGTTTTATATGCCATATAAATGAACTTTATAATGAGGAAACTCTAGAGAATTAAGGGATTATTTGTAATATATATATATAAAAGAAAATTATTGTTTTAAATATTATATTCATTTTAAAAATAAAATTGTATAAATGTTATAAGTTCATGAAATAAAATAACATGTATTTTATCGAATTATTCAAATAAATTACTATTTTTAATTAGATATTTATGGCTGATATGAAGGCGTTTCTAGTGAACTATCAAGATTCTTTAACACTCGCTTTTATAGTTTTCATTTAATTATTTATTATTTTTCTCAAATGAGACATTCCAAAAGAGTAAAATCAGTATTCACTATTCATAGCTATTTGAATTGTATTACTAAAATCCATTATTTCATATTCTCATTATCATATTAGGATATCTATAATATATACATTTCAAAAGTATATATAGCTCTTTTAAAACTAAAAACCTAAACTTTTATTATATTTTGACTTTATTTGTCAAAGGTGCCAGTGATAAAACTTTCTGAAAATCCTTTTCTCTCAGTGAAAAACTATAGAAAAACCTCGGCTCAAGGAAAGGCTAAGGTAAAAATAGGAAAACCGTAAGATTTCTATTTTCTCCCAACCTATTTTTCAATTTCCCCATTCTATTTCTCAGCCGCCTACAATCCCAATCCGAATTTCCCTTTTATCGATTTTTTTACAGATATTCCACACCGTTTCATTTCCTATTGTCTCTATTCTTTCAGGAGGGGATATTTTGAACCCATTACGTTTAGAATTTTTTTCTTAATTAAATCTTATAAAATGAACATCACTTTTGTCTTGAAGATAAAATTTAGTAAATGAATTTGTTCTATATTACTCTATATCAGAGATTCATCCCAGGGACTGCCCCCTAAAATTGACGTTCACGTCTTCTAGGAATACATTTATTGAGTTCAGAAACATTTAGAGAGAGAGAGAGTTCTAGCAGTATATTGGTCGGCTGCTCTTTCTAGAAAAAGTAAATATTTTCGTAATTTTACGATTGAGCAATCTATTGAAAATTTATAATCAAACGGATTTTCTTAATTTATCTACTTTATTCCAGTACAATTTCATATTTGTACTATTTTATCTTATATATATTGTGGTAAGTTGTTATTGTCTACTGTTGTAGTAGGCAGGTTGATGCAGTCGTGGTTAGGTTACAGTGGTTTCAGAAGTCAATAGGTAACACAAAAAGACGAGGCAGGTTAGAGGTCACCTCAGAGGGAGGCCAGCGCCGTCCAGTAGAGTGTTTTTTTTTTGCTTATCCTTAGTACATGTGGTACAGGTCATGATAATCATGGTGGGTAGTTAGCGACTGCTTTTTTTTTTACTGTAAGCGCACCACATGTCTACACATGTTAAAAGCAGTTCGACTTTGCACTTGCACAAATGTGCCAGAGCCCCGTTTGGTTACTTGTACTCGCTGGTGGGGTTGGACTTTTGCAAGAATCAGGGGCCATTGGAGCATTCTTTTTAAACAGAAAAAGTGTCCAATGCGGGACTCGAACCCGGGTCCTAGTGGTCGAAAACCAAACGGTTTAACCAGCCTTCCACCGACCCCCTCAGTAGAGTGTGATCTACACGAAAGGCAGAGATGAACTGTTAGTTGGTCGGGAGGTGGGGGATGAAACAAACTACCGGCTGTGTCAACGTAGAACCTTTATCCAGTCTTGGCTCCGGCGGACTTTCAATCAAACTTTATTATCCTGTTTTGTATTATATGATGGCCAAACTGGCGAGTTGGAATGTATTCACATTGTGTGACTCTCACACTATAATTATGTTAAATATAAAAATCCAATACCCCCCCCCCCCCCCCCCCCTATTGAAATATATTACTACATATATACAGTAATATGAATTTTAATATTATAATATTGAATATCTATAGCAATAAAACTGTGGCTACCAAATTTTCAAATATTTACTGATATTACTGTAATGTAACATTTGTTTTCCCAAAAATGTGTTGGAATCTATATGGATGGGCATTAGCTAACTTATTATCTGGTTGTTTCCATAAAATAATTAATTAAATAAAATCCATTCAGAAAGTTTTACATTTTGAGAATAACAAAACACACTGGTTCTTGGGGAAGTTGCTGTGGAAGTTGTTAAGAGGGACCTCATTAGACACAAGTTATTTGGCTTAGGTTTGCCGTGATTGCTTCATGGCTGTCTGAAATTTATTCATCCTTGTCCTTTTTTATTCTTCCAATTGTATCTTGATTCTTATACCTACCACCTCAGACAAACTACCAGTATTTACTCTACAACCTAACAATACCACATATATATGTATACCCTTTTTTTAGGTTGAAAATTGAATTTACTGAAAACTGACTACTAAGATGAGTATTTAAAGATAACAGCGCATCAGTTATCAAAATATATTGAACAAAACGTTGATTTAATTTCATCCGTTAGTAAGGGAAAAATATCCTTTTTTAAATCATCAAGAAAGGCCAGCCATGTAAGCTTTTATCGTGGCGCAGACGGATCTAATCGACTTCCTATTCCAAAATCATTTTATTTGGTACCGCTCAAAAAGGGCAACCTAGTTTATGGTATATGCAACAATGAATGACATGTGAGGGTTATTTACATATTAAAACAAAGTGTCCAACGCGGGATTCGATCCCGGTTCATGGCTGTCGGGAATCGAAGGTTTTACCCACTCGTACCCTATCTAATCGACCCTTCAATGAGAGGCCAAACACCTCTTTATGAATAAAGAATATAGTATTTCTCGAGGCCGAATTCGTTTATCTTTGAAATACAATCAAACATATAAATATAACAATTATTAAACACAATATATTAGCGCCCTCCCTCACAATTGTTTTTATAAATTATAACTATCTATGACGCGTTATATATGATTCTCTAAATAAAACAGGCATCTAATGCCTTACTACAATGATATAAATAATGGGAGATTGTAGTAAGGAAAAGGTAGATAAATTGGTTTATTCAAAAGAATCATACGGGTGATAAAAGGTTTCCAAAGCAAGTATAACAATCCTATATTTGAAAATATATTATAAAATGATCTTTTTTCTGTTTTGGATATCAACATTTGTATTATAATGTATCTCTCTTCATCTGATATAATTTTAATATTTAAATGGGAAATTTGTGTGAATGTCTAAAATATATTCGAAGAAATCTATTAAATATATATTTATGTATTTATAGATATACAAGTTTTTATGAAGTATTTTCTTTTCTCAAATATATGAAAATTACGATTTACTTTTATAAAATATCCAAAATATTTCGCAATAAGTTTATTTATTAAAAAACAGGCGCTGTTTTTAATAAAGAAACTTATTTCAAAAGGTTTTTGATATTTTTATAATTTTCTTTACTCAAGGAAAATAAATTATCTAGAATTATTATTTATAAATATATACAAATTATATTTTGAAAGTTCTCTCAATTTCAAAATCAATAGAAAAGATAAATTTCTATAATAAGAAATATATATTTTAGAAAAAAAGCAAATTTAGAATATTTATATTTACTAACTCTATAAATTGAATTGAAAAATAATTCCAATGTCTCTAATGCAATTTAGAAAGAGGAAATTGCTTTCTTTAATCATTTGGCATTTCAATTAAATTTAAAACAAGATCTACTGCCTGATTATTCATCTAGAAAATTAACAGTTAGTTCGACAAAATATCTTGAAACATTTTTATTCTATTTTTAGCCTTCTGGTATATATATTTTTTATATTACTAATATATTGGTAAAATTTAATATAACCAAATTGGACCAAAGAAAAATACCATCTAATTTTTTACAAACATTTCTATTTGAAATTCAAAATTTTATTTGAAATTACTTCCTATATTCTTGAAGAAGGGCTATTTACGCCCGAAAGCTCGAAGTACTATTATTTTTGAAATAAAAGAAACTTATCCTCGGAATTTATTTATGTTTGCTGCTTATTATACACCAGAGGATTCCACCTTATGATATACATACTATGTTGATACAAGATTAAATAAGTGACTTATCGCCAATTTTTAAAGTGATACATTTATTGGGAGCTTTCGGGTCTTGCCTTTTATCAAACAATAGTTTGATATCAAATTCTTGATTTATTATTTTAAAAATTTGTACAAATATTCATAAATATTAATTTTAAATAGAAGTCCAGAATTTTTTGTCAAGTGAGCGACTTCATTCTATCATTGTCTAATGAATTTTCGATAGCAGTGAGAGCTGCGAAGAAATCTTCACTTGTGTCGGTTCTGAGGGCGTAGAAGCGTAGGATAGTAAGAGATCTCCTTGCCTCGCTCAATGTGACTGGAATTGGCGGTTGCTCTTCTTCGTCTTCTTTCTCGTCCTCATCCAGATGGGCCAAATCCAATATTTCAGCATCGGTTAGGGCACCGTGAACACTGATGTAATGCTAGATATGAGAATAATCCTCAAATGTTAATTCTCCATAGTTAGGTAGACGTTCCCACCCAGAGTCAGAATTTGTAATTTTTGGCGGCTTCGATGACTGTTGTACGCTTTTGGTGTGCTTAAACCCGCACTTTCCAAGTCAGTTATAAATAGTGGTGTTGTTGACATTTTTCCAGGCCTTATTAAGAATCATGATTATAGTGGCTAAATGGTAAAATGCCAAACGGTTTAGCGGCATCTTATTTTAATTCTCCATCCTCCACAGTTCACACGCTTTTTTCACTTATGGAAATACACCTTTTCTTTCAATAACTCATTTTAATAACACAACAAACATTAAAAGGACTCACTTTAACCATTTCGGTGCAGAACGCGACAATAGTTGCTTCGAAGATTTTGTATGTTGGTGCGAGAAGCGACTATAATCCACGTGCTATAAAAATTGAATCCTTTCAGTACGGCCGCTAGTTGCCCAGTTGTGAAACTGCCGCCCGCTCAGCGTGATGTGAAATTTGAGCTCTAACTTTGTTTAGTTAGTTCACGGGATGGTCTGGCTTGAGAAATTCGCCGGCAACATTCTCCCTCGTATTTCAATTTTCAGATAGAATCTTACATATTAATAGAATTAAATAAACAAGATTTTGACATAAAATTTCGTGATTTATTATTTCAAACATTTGTACAGTTATTCCCAAATATTAATTTGTGCCAAAATACTATTCCTTTTTGCGCAATCAAAATACATATTTAAATTTACAAAATATCATTTAAAATAGCATATGAATGGAGTAAAATAACAAACTTCAAATAGACTCGAGACACCTACTGCTGGAATGTCCACTCTTCTTTAGCGCTAGGCAACAAACACTAAACAATGTTGTATATCTGTATGAATTTGTAAATACTAGAGATAAGTATCACAGATTTTACCATTTTTGTAAAAATATTTATGATTATCTTTCTAACCTGGAAGGATCAAGTTACTAATATATCTTATTATTTCTCTTATTTATTTATTTGTTGTATAATATATATATATATGTTTGAAAATTTAGTACAAATGTAATATTGTACTGGGATAAGGTGCATAAATTAAGAAAAAGGCAAATTTTCTTAATATATATGTTTATAATAGCTTCTGTTTAAAAATGTAAATCGACGCAATTATCCCTAGCCGGGATATCGCCTTTTGTTTATTGAAATAAATAAATAGAGCTCCCGAAAAAAAAACAGAGGTTGACAATATTTTCATATTTTGAAATATTTCTCTGGTTAATAGGAATTATATTTATTATAAAGAAAACATTCTTATTTTCATCCTGGTTTCAGACTCCTTCAAAATTTCAGGTAAATAGATGAATTCGAAAGGAGTGAAATAAACATATGGCAATATTTGAGGACAAACACAACATATGAATGAGATAATAATGTTAATATTTAGGTATATATTTCTACAACCCCTCCACCCTACTAGAAATAAATGTCTATAGTTATCGTATGAAATATCCATTACTCTGTACGTAAAGAATGTAGGGTATATATAAGAAATTTAGTCTTATACAATAATTGAGCGGTCTTGAGATTGAACTGGCGAAATCGCTGGGTGGGTTTACTACTAGTGAACCAGACTCTCTCCTTTTCAATTATTTATCATTTAAGAAATAGCTTTCTAACTATATATATATACATATATGTGTGTGTAAAAATAATACAACTGTTATATTGTATATATATGAATACCTTTATATATGTATGTACCAAAAGAGGCATCACTCCTATTAATTATCATTTGAACGATGCACTGTTCATCACCCTAGAAGAAACCTTACTAATGCTGATAAAAAATAAGCCAAACCACCAGTTTTGACAAGTTCAAACAAAATAGCAATCTTTATACAATGGTTTCGGGTTTTGGCTCTCATCAGTACTGAGGCGGTTCCGATTTCATAACACCTTACAAGAGGAGTTAAAAATCGGTCGAATATAACAAACAGGGGTTTTAGGTGTGTATATTCATATAGATAAAACAATAACAGAATTTTCAGATGTAAAGTTTCAAACAATCTCCTCTAAAGATACTAAACTATACATAGCGATGTATCAGGTTGTCCCGTTATTGGCCGTTTTTGGAAACACATTTTT